TCTGTACCTCTCTTCAACACCTAATCATATTTGTCAGTTGTCAGTCAAATGAGTTACACTGTCTTTGTTTAAATCAGACAGGTCGTAGACATGCAGTGATAGCGACTCTTCTGGATAGAGTTAAATGTTAAAGGTCTTCACTTTCATTAACACATATAAACTAAACTTTTCCAACAAACAGGAAATATGTTGCCATGGATACAGTGAGTTAAACTGTGGGTTTCAACTTGAGCCCATGTTTGTTTACATTTTGGAAAATGAAGTGTAGTGACGGATCCATTTTAATTTCCTGTTTGTTGTTAACCATTGATGTACTGACAACTATCACGGATCACTGACTGAGGAGCTTCCTCTTTCTCTGGTTTCTACTCAGATTTATTTACAGTGGTGTTTTCATGTCTGTGTTCAGGGCTGACTGAATCATGACTCAGATTTTTGTCTGATGTCAGTTTCACATGTATTTGGATGTTGATATTTGATGACTTGTTAGTTGATTTTATTCATCTGATTTGGTTTGGAGATCACTTGTGTTTTGATTATATGTGAATGAATGTAACCAGTGATATAAGACGTGTGGAGCTCTCAGCCCCTTTTATCCTGTCAAAGTAGCTCTCAGAGTATAAAAGGTCGGAGACCCCTGATGGGGGTTCTGGCTCTGCCCTGTTGTCTCCTTCCAGCTGGATGTACCTTGACTACTTCCACAAGGACGAATTCAGGAGTAACTCATGTGGTTTATATGTTTATGTGTTTGATATTATTGAATATCAACCCAAGCCTACTTGCTGGTAAATCAAACATCCAGTTTGTATCTTTCTGTTTCTTGAAGTTTTCCTGATGACATCATCAGGGTTATTTTCTCAGACTTTGTCCAGAGTTCAGAGCCACTGAAGACACCATACAACTGTTCAATTGACCTTGATGTGTAAAATCGTTTGAGTTGCTTGGACTGTGAAACACATAGTTTTAACTTGCACTTAAAGGTACATGTGCCTCCTCTCTCTCTCGTAGAGATGCCATAGCCAAAGCCTTGTACTCAGTGTTGTTTGACTGGTTGTTGGAGCAGATCAACGACTGGCTGAGTCCCACAGAGATGGACAGCACAGTGGGGATAGTGGACATCTACGGGTTTGAGGTTGGTATCCTGGACTGAGATCTGCTCTTCTGGATTATCTGGTGGCGTTGGTTGGACGTGACGTCACAGGTCCCTCTGTGTCCCTCTGCAGGACCTGGGAGTGAACAGCTTTGAGCAGCTGTGTATCAACTTTGCCAATGAGCAGCTGCAGCACTATGTCAACAAGGCGGTGATATGTCAGGAGGAGGTCAGTGGGCTGTAGGTTAGATCCACGATCTACATGATCGTGGATCAACCCCTTAATGACTTAATCAACAGTTGATGAGTCATTTACTAATGGCCTATAGAGCTGTTGAGTTGCCAGTTTATTAACATTTACAACAGCAGAGTAGATGGATCAGTGCAATAACCATTAGAACGTGAGAAACTCATTCCCTCTAAAAGTGTATATAACAAGCAATGACTTTATTTAAGACTTACCTTTATTAACGACCTGACTCTCAATGACTCGCCAGCAAAAGCAATTATTCACAAACTGGCAACCCAAACATTGTCCTTCCCTATTAAGAACTTATAACTGATCTAAAAGGCATTAATAAACAGTTTATTAACAACTACTGAGGCTGCTAGGTAAAACCTATGAGCCCTTCATTGAGGGTGACTTTTTATAAAGTGGTACCACGTTCATAGTTTTGTATTTCTCACACATAATCACAATCACAGTGAAAAAGAAGTTCCAAGACACATGTCAAGCAAAATAATAAAAAATAAATCCTGACTAAGTATTAAAACCAAGTCTTACAAACCACAGCTTAACATATTGTCATACTCCAGCTCCATAGCCCTCAGCCTACACCAGAGTATGTAGTATAGACTTTACACTTTAGTGAAGTCAGGATGAGCATGCCTTTAGTATCAGTTACAGTTTATGCTAATATGTTAGCATGGAGTATTGAAGCCAGTGGTGTCAGTGCTCTCATCAACTAATGGGAAATCTGGACAATGAAACCAAGGAGCAGTGGGTGTGTGTGTGTGTGTGTGTGTGTGTGTGTGTGTGTGTGTGTGTGTGTGTGTGTGTGTGTGTGTTTTTCCTACAGGAGGAGTACAGTGCAGAACAGATCCAGTGGCACTCGATGCCGCACAAGAACTTCCACTCCTGCCTGGAGCTGATCTCTTCCAGGCCACACGGCATCCTCCGCATACTGGACGACCTGGGATGCCTCCCCCAGGTACACACACAAACACACAAACACTCTATGTGGGGGACCCGTTGTTTACATAATGCATTCCCTAGCCCCGCCTAACCCCAACCCTAACCTTATCCTATTTCTACCCCTAACTCTAAAATCAAGTCTTTGCCAAACAGCCATTTAAACTTGTAGGGTCCACAATTGTAGTGGGCTCCTGGTTTTCAGAGCCCCTTTTCAGACTAGATACATTAGAAAGGCTTTGACAGCCACCTTGATAAGCACGGAAACGCCCCCTTTGCTCATATTGCAGCGTGTCAGGATCATTAGTTTTGGAAAAAAAATGTGGTAAAAATGAAAATGTGCAGCCTTAGACTGAAGACAAGGAGCTGCAAGCAGAGCCTTCACATAACTCTGTGTTTTTTCAGGCCACCGACCACACCTTCCTCCAGAAGTGCCACTATCACCATGGGAACAGCCCCCACTATGCCAAGCCCAAGAACCCACTCCCAGTCTTCACTATTTATCACTATGCTGGAGCTGTCACCTATCAGGTATGACCACAGCTGATCCATCAAACAGCAGCTGATGCAGGGAGGAGGTTTATATTCAAAGAAATCTCTGTGTTTTCAGGTCCATAACTTCCTGAATAAGAACCACGACCAGTTCAGGACAGAAGTGGTGGAGCTTTTCGCCAGGAGTCGCTTAAAGGTGAAACAGCTGGAAACACACACAGGCTGCTTGTGTGGACCTGTTCTAACGAGAGATTTTAATCACATTTTACAGTGTTTTACAGGCCAACCAACAAATTAATAGAACAAGGCTGTAAAGAGATAAACAGCCAGCAATGGGAGACTAACACTAAAAATAAAAATAAAGAGACAGATCAATAATAAAAGTGACATAAAATAAATAAAACCAAAACACAGTAGTTGAAGAACGTCCAAGACGTCATGTCGTGATTCAAAAATAGTTGAAAAACAAAAGTTGTGCTGACGTGCAGGACGCTTCATGACCATCATAACAACTTGCAGCATTCCTGTGTTTGCATGTATTTTCTGTATAAATACGGAAAACAGTTTTACAGTGTGTGTCTGTGCGCCGTACATATGATGCCAAATTTGCCGTTACAGTCACCAAAGTACCAAAGAAAAATGTATATACTGTCATAATAGTGATTACTGCATCTTATCATCATGACTTAGCATCTCATAAGTTTCAGAAGTCGAGTATTTTGTCCTCTGATGAAGTGATTCTTCTTCTGTGGTGTAAGACCTGTACAGTGCTATCACAAGTGGCTCTTCTACTCTAATTAGGAGACACTAAATCATAATAATGGGAAAGTCATAATTACAATGTAATGTTTCAGATATTTGCTTTTTTATAAGATCTCTTCCTTCAATTATGAAATGACTTACTACTACTATTTTTTTTATCATGCCTCCGCTGCCATCCCATTCTCATGAACATATCTCAGTAACACCTTGAATGAACTTCTTCAAATTTAGCACAAAGATTCATTTGGACTCAATGGTGAAATTATTTGAATTTGGTGGTCAAAGGTCAAAGGTTAAGGTCACTGTGACCTTCATACACCAATTACAACACAATTTAATTCAAATGTCTATAAGGATAAAATGAAATGATAACATTTTATGTCCAAATAGTCAAAGGTCAACTTCACTGTGATAACATACTCTGCAAAAAACACTTCTGGCCATTATTCAACACTGTAATTAACTGTAAATAACAGGAAGGAGAGATTGTGACCATATTTCCAGCAGCTTGGCTGGTTGGTGGAGGCATTCCGCCGTGAGGCAGTAATTCTAGTTTTTTGAAACTGTTTGCCTTCTACAATAAAAAAGAGCAACAAGCAAAAGAAAATCAAGTATAAAAGTGATAATGATTTATTACTGGTATCATTACAAGCATTCAGTATTTCCACTGAATACATTATACATCAACATGGCATATGGACATCAGTTGCTTCAAAAAAAAATATCTGTAGGCTTTCAAAAACAGGTTTCCTTCATGTTTCCCTGTTGCGCAGATGGTGTCCGAGTTGTTCCGGAAGCTTCAGGACGGTTACATTCAGCAGAGGGAGCTGGGCTGGAGAGGGAAGGGCCTCCGCCAGCAGCCCTCCACCGCTGCCTCACACTTCCTCCAGTCCCTGACTGAACTCACCACCCGCCTGGAGAGGTACCGACACGCCGACCGCACTTCCGTCCACACGGAGCTGTCATTAAACAGATGTTTGGCTCAGACTGAGTGTCATGTGAAGGGATACAGTTTCGCAGCATGCGTTTAAAATGATCACGGGTTTAATAAATGTAATGGAAGAAAAGATACTGGGAGCATGACAGTTGGTGTTCATAATGTTTTCATCGGGTGTGAATCATCACTGAGACCAACTCTACAAGAGACTTCACAAGACGAGACACGTCATGTATGAGTGAGCGGCACAGATGAGGATGTTTCATAGATAAGTGTGTACCTGTTGGTTAATACTCGTACCAGATGCTCCTAAGATAATTCAGTTGAATTCACATGCTGCTCCTTTCTTGAGTTTCAGGCAGGTCTAAAGTTAAACCTATTTCCTGATTAGTAACGTGTCTGTGTTTTTTTCCAGATGCAAAACCACGTTCATCCACTGTCTGAAGCCAAACTATGTCAAGGTAACGTTGGTCAGTTTCATTTGAATGTCATCTAGTATCATAACACTAGATACATATTCTAGATTTTCATTTCCACACACTGTGTCTCTTGTGTCTTCTGGCAGCTTCCTGGGATCTTTGATGTGGACTATGTGTCAGCCCAGCTGAGGCATGCTGGGACCCTGGAGACCATCCACATCAGGAAAGAGGGTTTCCCCATACGGATTCAATACTCCTACTTCATCGAGAGGTGTTGCACATATACAAAGCATTCCTGCCTGCACCATCATTGTAGTACTTAAATGTTAAAGGACCATATAGTATAAAGGTAGATGTCCATGTGTTGTTTGATTATAGATCAGGTCTAGGTTCTATATTAATACTGTGAAAGTATCAAAGCCTCAGTCCACAGAGAAATGCACACAGCCTGTATTCAGAAACTGAGCCTTAAAACCAGCCGTCAGGACTTCTGCAACTTTGTGATGTCACAACAAAGCATTCACCGCCCTGGAATGAGACCAAGGTTGCGAGAAACCTGGATGTCATTGATGAGCAGCTATCCCGGCCTTACCTGACTCAGTACACCACCCAGCTCTTGGTTATCTCTCGCCTCGACTACTGCAATGCTCTTCTGGTGGACCTTCCTTCACACACAGTGAAACTCTTACAGATGGTCCAGAATGCAGCAGCCCGTCTGGTCTTAGATCAGCCTAAAAGGTCACATGTCACTCTGCTGCACCAGAATCAAATACAAGTCACTAATGCTGCCTTCTGGATCTGCACCATCTACTTGATCCAATCATACAACCTCATGCTCCTTCTCGGCCACCGTGTTCCTCCAAGGAATGTGGTCTGGGACAGCTGTAACTGCACACAAGCCAGTCTCAGTCCAGACCGTTGTGTTCTGTGGTTCCCTGATGGTGGAACAAGCTGGTGAACGCTCTCAGAGCAGGGGCGTCCCTCACTATCCTCAAGAATCTCTTGAAGACCTCTAGAGCACCTCCTCTCCTAACATCTCTAACACCCTAACTAGCACTTACAGTGCACATACAGTGCACTCCTTCACTTTATCTCCTTCACTTTTTGAATAGATGTAGTACTTAGTGCTTACACCAAGGTCTCCTACTGCACTGAAGCTTTAGTGATGTCCCTCACTTGTAAGTTGCTTTGGATGAAATGAGTAAATGTAAATGTATTAGGATAAATATGTGCAAGGAAACAGCAAAGTGTGTTCCACAGCTGACCTCCACAACAGAAGGAATGACTTTTGTGATGTTCAGGAGTTGTGTCGTGATGCACGCACCATCAAATCATCAGATTTTGGATTTAGGAGCTTACAGGATGAATTTACCATGTGTCCTGGTTCACAGGTATGGGGTTCTGCTGACCCAGAGGTTGAGTGAGGTGTCGGACAGAGAGCAGACGGTGGCTCTGCTGGAGATGGTCGGTGCAGAGGAGGGACACTACCAGTTGGGCCTCACCAAGGTGCCTGACCCATTCATGACACTGAAGGGAAGTTTTTACTGAGCAAGTCAAGATGTTCAGACACGTGTATGTGTGTGTGTGTGTGTGTGTGTGTGTGTGTGGGGTGTTGTGTGTGTGTGTGTGTATGGTTAGGTGTTCCTCAAGGAGCTTCTGTACCAGCAGCTGGAGGAGAAGTGGAGCAGCACTCAGACCTGGGCTGCCATCACCATCCAGAGGAACATCAGGGGTTTCCTGTGCAGGAGGAACTTCAGGTTTTTCAAACAGAAAGCCATCGTCATCCAGAGCCACATCCGAGGACACCAGGCCAGGTACAGAGAGCGGGGAGACCACGATCAAACACTTCTATCAGTAAACTAAAAGCACACCAGCGGTGAAATGCGCTGAAGCGTCCGAAGTAAAATAAGAGTTCAGTAAAAACCTTCAAATCATGGATGTTTTCAGTTTTAGTTGAAGAAGGAAATGGAGAAAAGGGGGGAAGAAAGACAATGAAAAGTGGATGACAGAATGAGAGAAGAAATGAAACAAGGAAAGAAAGACGGGGAAGGAATCAAGGATAGAAGAAAAAGAGAGGGAATGTATGAAGAAAAGAAGGAAGTAGACAAGGAAAAAAGAAAGAGGGAAGGTTGGAATATAAAGACAGAGCAATGAAAGTAAGGACAAGAAAAACAACAGGAGAAATGCGTAACTTAAAAAGCAACTTAAATTTAAAAACTAGATCTTGAAATGAAAATAAAATCAAACGTTCAAAGATTCTAAAGAAGCTGCTGCTTCCGTCTGTTTATTTTTCCGGGCCGTTCCCCATCCAGCCACCAGATGCCCTCAGACTTCCCCACCAGTCCCAGTCACCTGACATCCACACCCACCTGCTCACCTGTTCATCGTTCCCTAATCCCCCCCCCCCCCAAGTACTTAGACCAGCCATTTCCACCAGCTCCCTGCCACATTCATGCCTTCGCTTTCCAGCTTCACCTGCTACCTGATCCTGGCACCCACTGCTGCCTGTTACCTGTCTCTGCCTGTACCTGTTACCTGACGCTGTTCCTGTGTTTTATGAGCTTTTGGCCTGTTTAACAACCTGCCAATCAGTCTTGCCCATGTGGACTGTCTGTCTTTTAACCTGTTCACCCTGTGATCATTAAAGTCTCTTTCTCCATCTGCCTGCCTGAGAGTCTGCATTTCATTTTTCCATCTTGTACTTGCTGGAACCATGACACCAAAGTAAAAAAAGGCATTAAAAAAGTTATAAAAGTCAATATAAGAAAAACAAAAATGTAATTTAAATAGAATAAAATAAAGAAAAATCTAAGCTAAACTGAATAAAACCAAATCAACAAGAGAATAAGAAACAACGGGTCAGTGTAAGATTTAGATGCAGATCTCATTTAAGAAAACGGTGGAGATGCAGCAGTGAAAGTGTCTCTGATGAAGGTGTGAATTAGAGAAAGAAAACTGAAAAGTGAAGCAGAAATTTGAGCAGAGACAGAGTTACATTTCACCTGGAGCCTGAAATGAGGTCAGACAATGATGCACTAACACTGAACATCTGTACGTCTGTGTGCTGCTGCCCCCTCTCTCCTTCCAGGAAGTACTACAAGCGTCTGAAGCAGTCCTTCACCCAGTTCTGGGCGGTGATGCTCGTCACTAGAGACACCATCAAGAGACGCCATTGGAGGAAGGTAGATATTCGAGAGAGAGAGAGAGAAAGAGGGAGGGAGGGAGAGAGAGAGGGAGAGAGAGAGTCCTGGACTGAGTTTCTTGGCAACCTCATGTTTATTGTGCTGTAAATCTCATATGCAATACCAGCAGCTTAACACAACCACGTATGATTTGTAACAGGAAAAGAATGTCCGAGCCCTCTCAGTGATAACACCCTGACCTCCATGTTTGGGATCAAAGTAATTCTCCTCTCTTCTTTTTCATATCCGTTAAAATGACTGACCGTCGTGCTGCCTCAGCTGATGGCAGCACATGTTGTGTGTCCTGTACACACGGTTAGCTTAGTAAATATACTGTATACAGAAACATATAAACATACTAACAAGAACAAGAAAACAACAAGGAGCAAAAACACAGTTATGAACATGTTTTGTTTGCTTTTATTTATTTTAAGTGTCCTTTGTACAGCACGTTGGTCAGCTCAAGCTGTGTTTAAATGTGCTCTAGAAATAAAGTTGACTTGACTTGGCTTAACTGCACACATGGTTAGCTACGGAAGAGGATTAGGGCCACATGTGAATTTTTATTTTTTTTTTTAGAATTCTGAAGAATTCAGAATTAGAATAAAATCATATAAAATCATATTAAAGTCAGAATTCTGAGTTTAAAGTCTGATTAAAGTCACATGTGGCCCTAATGTGGACAGAAATTTAAAAAAATTAGATTAAAGTCAGAATTCTAAAAAAATTAATGTTTTCACGTGGCGCTAATCCTCTGCTGTAGTTAACAGTCAGACTAATGACATATTTTATTTATTGCACAGAACTGCATTAGGTAAAGGGTAATCTCAGCTAAAATAATAATAACAAAAAAACATTTTCTCAAGCACCTTTCTACCCATTTAGTTGTGGTTTTATTTATTCATGTTATGACATAATCTACAAAATCTCATCCCTTTCCTTTAACTACCTTCTTATCTTTGTCACTTGGGCAGTCACACACACACACACACACACACACACACACCCTGCTTACACCTCAGTCACTTGGACTTCAACCCCTCTCAGTGAAATTTGAAGCAGCGCTGCATCTCTCATTCCACCCTCTGAAGCCTGTCTCTCAGACTTCCAGCTCCTCAGCTGTAACAGGTAGGCTGCTTCTCTTTCCTTTTACCTTCTGCTTCAGATCTAATACAAAGAAAAAATTTCCTCAGCCTTTTAGTTGATTTGACTAGAGACGTAGTTTACACCATGAAAATAATACAAACACAGGGTCATGACAGAGGAAACTACCTAGAGACACTTCTTTCAGCTTGTGTTTCATCTTATTTTATTCTCTTGACTAAACTAAACTCACTTCTTTTCTTTGTCAGTTACTTTGCTTAAGTTGTGTCTTTGTCAGTCTATTTGGTGTTACTGTTTTATGAGGTTTGGACTCTGAACAGTGGAGCTACCAGGCGTCGACTCACAGGCTGCCTGTGTCAGCTGTTCAAGCCTGGCTACGGTCATCGGGAGCTTTACCTCAGAATCTTGAGTGTTTACTAAAAAGCAAAGGTTTATATTAGAGTTTGACAAACAGATTTGGGCTGAAGGTCAGTGTCATCACTTCTGATACAATATAATTACATATATTTTATGGAACTGATTCATTCTCACTTCTTGTCTGTACCTGAATTATTATTTTGATTTGATTCCACTTGTGTTCAGAGTTTCTATTTTCCTAATCATTTCCTAGATGTGTATCTATAATTTCTATGGAAGGTTTCTGTAGAAAAGATTATGAAGACAAGGTAAAGTTAATGATATTACCAGTTAATAAATTCCAATTAAATGAGCAAGTAAATATGCAAATGCCAAATGTGTTTTTCTGTGTGTTGTTGTTGTATATGACAATTCAAATATGAGAATCACTTAAAATGACTCAGGTTTTAATGAATGTGTCAAGTTTTTCCACCAGCTTCACACATCAAGTCCAGGTTACCTGTCCTGACTAGAGTGTATATACGCGGCCTGTTTAAACAGTTATCTTCTGTGTCTTTGGTGGAGCTTTAAAAGTTGTAGAAAATGACCCTGATTATGTCATAGTGATGTCATCAGGGTTATCTCATCTTTGGTTTTTTTTCTATCAGAGAGCCTTCATTTACAAATTTGGCATGTGGAATTTGAAAGATTTCTCTAGGTAGTGAGGATGTAATATAAGATTATGTAACATAGAGATGCATTGTGGGAAATGAAGTCCATGGGTTTGGGAGCTTAGGGACTAAAAGTCTGAATATCCGAGAATGCCGGACAAAAAGTCAGGGGATGGTTGAGGTTGATAGGATTCATCTTCTGGGGACTATGAATGACTGTACAAAAATGACACAGCAATCTATCCTGTAGTCGCTGAGATATTTGGCTATGACTAGTGCACCAGTGGTTTGCACTGGTACATCACAGCAAGTGAGTTCTGGGTTCAAATCAACTGGCCGGTGTGGAGTTTGCATGTTCTCCCTAAGTGGGTTTCCTCGGTTCTCCCCCACAGTCTGAAAACGTTCAGTCTAGGTTGAAATGGAAATTTCATGATGCTTTTGTTTGTTTTTCTGTATTAGAACCTGGTTCGATCTGGACCTAAACTCTTAACCTGCTGGTGGCATTAGATAAAAGACTATTTCCACCACGATGCACCACAGGAAGTCATTCCTGCCTGTGGCCATCAAACTTTACAACTCATCCATCAGAGTGTGTCCCTCAGAGCCAATAAACTGACCTTTGGACTTATCTGACCTCGGTCAGCAGACGTCACATCATATTTTATTTATTTATTTACACTCCTCAAATGATACTAACTATGCAGTTCTGACACTTTCAGACAAGTGCAATTTTAAACTTACGTCCTTACATATTTACATTTTTTTTATTTATATATTATGGTAGAAGGACATATTTTTATATTGTTTTTTATTTTTATGTTGATATTTTATCTTAATTTTTTTATCTTTATCTTTATAATCTACTTCCTATTCTCTATTTTTTTTGCTGAGGGAGCAACTGTAACTTACCCAAATTTCCCCCTGGTGCTCAATAAAGTAATCTGATTCTGATTCTGATTCTGATTCTGATTCTGATTCTGAGAACGTCAGGGGATCACCTGCATCAGTAGCATACATTACCAGGGAGTTATGGACAAAATTGTACAAATTTTGTCCTAATTCATCTCGTAGACCTAAAGCTTTTTCTCTAATCATGACGATACACCCTCTGGGGATCATGAATATACCAAATTCCATGACAACCCATACAATAGTTGTTGAGATATTTATTAAATTAAATTGGTGGACTGACCAACACTACCACTCCTGGACTCATGCTGCTGCCATGGTTAAAGTTAGTTTACTTCATCTTCTCTGAATATTTCCTCAAGAAATATCTTAGTAAATAAAGACACATTAGTTGTAAAGTAAAATGTAATATAGTGGAGTTGTTGTGATCCAGCAGTCAGAGGGTGTGTGTCCATCTGTTATGATTTGTAACACACTTGTTTGATTTGGGAAGGTCCATCATCGTAAATCCTGTCATGTGGACACAGAGCAGGGTTGGGCTGCCTGTGTGTTTGTTATTGAGTTATTTTATAACTTTGTCATTATTGAAGTGAAACCACCAACAAAAGCTGAGTGTTTGCTGCATGAATACATGTGCACGCCCCCGTTTAATCTGTAATGCATGGCATTTATCTGATATCTGTATCCAGTAGGAACTGAGCATGGAGTAGAAATATAAACATATAAACCAGGAGGGATGGAGACACATGGGGTGGCTCTGATCATAACTGTAATCATATCTGAGAGCTGTGATGAGGTGACTCCTCTCTGTGAGCTGTAAATCTCCTGATAAAAAGCAAACTTTCTGGACTTTTGGAACTGTGTGGGCTGGTATATGAGGCGGGGCAACGATGACTGTGGGTGTTGCAGGAGTATATAACAGGATGTGTATCTAAGAATAGGTCTGACTGAACACAGGCCTCAGGGAGAGAGGGATGAGGGCCTGTTGAAAGTTCTTGACGTACCTTGGATAACAAGGAGGATAACTCACAGTTACACAGTGGATCTGCAACCAGCTTGAGCTGCGGGATGTGAAATCACAGACTTCTAGATAAGATGAGATCATGCTCAACACATGATGACAAGCAGAGTGATTGACTGGCCTTATTTCAATTTCAGGACTTTCACGAGAGGATCAAAGTAAAAACTGTGACAAAGACCAAGTCTGTCTCTCCAGGAATGGTAAGACAACAAACTCATTGATTAAATACTGTATCAAAGAGATTCTGCTGGAACATTTCATCTAGTTTCTCCTGGGATAACTGCACTCTAATATTTGCTTTGTGTTGCTCTCCTGTCAGGATGTGGGGATGCTGGAGATCCCTGCTGAGCTGTCAGCCAGACTCCGCAGTGCAGCAGGTCTGCTCCATAAACAGAGCGAATTATTTGATAAGACTGCAGTTTGCACATACAGTATACTCTGCTGCCACAGTGTTTTCATGCCTTTTCACTGTAGATCCACTCTCTCTCCACCAGGGCGGCAGCATCCGTCAGGGGTCACAGAGGCCGCACCTCCACAGGTGAAGGCAGAGCACAAGCTCACCCTGCCTCCGGATATAGACAGATACCCGTTCTCTCGTTATGCCAAGTCTGTATTACATGTGAGTAAGGCTGTGAGCACACACACATGCACATGTTCACAATCCAGTCCTGGTTTCAGATTGTGCCCAACACAATAATCCAGTGTCGTATTCAGATATTTGTCCTACAGAAATGCAGTTTACACACTAAAAATGCTGGGTTATCTTTAATAACCTGCCAGGCTGCTGGGTTATGGGTTGGGTAGCTTTGACCTAACATTAGGTTGAATATAGTGACCCAGCACAATGGTATGAAGATGCCCACCGGAAATCAAGGCTCATCATTCTTTGCAGTCCACCATTTTTATGCAGTTTAGGCTAAAAAATGAAAGACACTGAGAAACATGAATTTGAAATTAATTTTATACATTTTCATCCAATTTTATACATTTAACGGTGTTGGAACTTATACATGACTAACTTGATATTTTTTGGTTGTAGCAATAAAAGAATGGCAGAGACATTATGTGCTTGTTTAATTGTTTCATCATTTTATAACAATTTTGATTTAATATTAACAGCAGGAGTCATTTAAATCCAAGCAATAGTGATAACTCAGTTTTGGGTTGTGTTTTTTTCAACCCACTTTTTGGTAGCTTTAATTCAACAACATAATCATGTTTTACCCATTTTTGGGTAGAGAACATAACCCAACATGCTGGGTCAAACTATAACCCAACCCTGCTGGGTCGGTCCCTTTTTCCAGCACTGGGTTACCAATACAGCCTAAATATTGTTACTTTTAACCCAGCAGTTTGAAGAGTGTATAGGTTGGTCCACTGTTGTGCTTCCTGTTGTGTAAGCTGAACCAGAGCTTATTATTTGCTGACAAAACAGACGCCAAAGTCACGTAGGTCTCTCTGCGAGATCAGTGGCTCTGGCGTCTTATTCAAGTGACTTCGTAAATATTTTGTTGAATAAAAGGAGGCAAGTAGCATTTCAAAAATAAGAACGTGATAGATGTCTGTGTTAGTAATGGTGACAAAATTTCCTCAAAATAATTATGTAGCTGCTCTTAAATTTACTTTATGTCTGGGCCACAACAGTGGGGCCAGTGCCACTGACTGAGTGATCTACTTCCACTATTGTTCAGGCAAATGCCATGTGACTGAGCTGGAGTTTCCCCATTGGCCGTTGCTCTTTCAAAATGAATTGGCACAAACAGTTTCTATTAGGGGGCATTTAACAGAGACTGTAAATAAAGATGGACGCAGCCTCTGCGACGTCACCCACAGGTTTCTGAAGAGCAGTTTTGAAGCTCAGAGAGATCTGCTCCACTGTTGCCATCTTGGCAGTGTCTGACTCCACCCCTAACTCCCAGCTAATCCAAAAATGGTCACAGATGGGGTGTGGTGGAGCCAAGACTTCGGTGTATGCTGGTTTGTGGCAAGCATACATTCATCCACCTGTCACTCAAAGCAACACGTCCTCAATTCTCCATATAATAATTAAACCTTAATAACATGTAAACCAGTGAGTTATACAAACAGGTGTCATGAAGGAGGAAATTAGCTCTAGAGACCAACACTGTTTTTTGTACCAGGCTGTAAACATGTTTATTTCTGCGTTGATAAGTAAAGAGACTTGTTTTAGGATGGTAGTCTGCACACAGCCAGAAATGCCTGTGGAAGTTTTCATAGTTAAGTTTTTGATATAAGAATCTTCGTTTTAATGTATGAATCTACAGTGTGTTTAATGGAAAGCACTGTTAACTTTTTGTATCTAAAAGATTAAAATGACTTGATTATTCTTTACAATACTTCTCATACAAAGACGTCCAACACACACACACCTGAGTGGATCAAAGAATATGGATTTTATTACCTGTCTATCTTCATGTTGTGTCCTCAGGATACATGGTGCCAGCCTCAGGGATACCCTCTCCAGAGACCCCTCACCTCTCTGGAGCCTGAAGATGCCAGAACTGCCCTGGACCTTTACAAACTGGTACATGGGAACTGATTAGATTACCTTAAATTAGTTCTTCTCATTCAGCTCATTTATGGTTTTCGATCCTTTTTTTCCTCAGATCATGAGGTTTACAGGTGAGTCAGACCTCAGCAGCTGGAAGGAGCAGATGTTGGGTAACTACATAGTTGAGAAAGGCCAGAGCCGGCCCCCTCTGAGGGACGAGATCCTGGCCCAGCTGGTTTACCACATGTGGGGTCTGCAGGAGGAGCAGGACAGCCTGAGGGGCTGGCTGCTGCTGACCTGTTGCCTCAGTGCCTTCACCCCCTCACCAACACTGGACAAACCGCTGCTCAAGTAGGTGCTCTGCTTGGTGGAGGATATACTGTAAACCCGTATAGACTAACTTCATTAACCTTTCGTTTAGTATGTAATCCTTTAAATTTGTTTCTAGATAAATGAGAAAATCCTGGTGAAAACTGGTGCTTATTTTGGTGTTCATAACTACGCTGTCTTTTTCATACTAACCACAGAAGGGCACCAAAGACACATTTTCAAATTTTAGACATAGTAGCTTTAATTTATTTTGGTGGTCTTTTATTGCAGTTGTTTTATAGTGATGGACATTATTGAAAGTTCCATATATCACTACCGCTGCTACTAACAGGAATAATAACTTCATTCAGACACCTGCCACACAAACACTGACCAAATGCATAATTGGTTTTAAATTAAACCTGTGTGCTGCTGTAAATAAGTAAATAAAATTAAATATTAAAAATACTAGAGCAGAGCATGAAGAAGAAATGAATCAACATGGCCACTCGCTCACTCACTATGAATTCTCCAGACAATATCTGCTCTATTCACACATGGGCTCAATGGGACATTACACAGACTTTAGACTGGTGAACTGACATTGGCATTGACACATACAATTCCTTACTTACTTGGATTGAAACAAATCCACAGATTTTTGGCTGGACTGCAACAGCAGGCCCAGCCCTATAATCATGAATGTCACTGACTGACTGACTGATGATATTTCCACCACTGGTCAGCTGAGTGCCAAGCCGCAGTTTACTGAGCTGCTCTGGTTTCCCAGCTGCTCAGGAACTGCGGGGAAGAGGAAGAGCACTTCCAATACACTGAGCCTCACCTCCATTACAGCATATAAACTACTTTCATTCCATGTATCATTATTACTCAAGGAGGCAGAGGAATACCTAACGTAAGACACACCAAGCAGAGAGAGCAGGAGAGAGGGAGGGAGAGAGAGAAGTCATTGGTAATGAGGCTTGGTACTAACGACTATGACCAATGCTACATATCAAACAGAGGGAGTTAGGCATGAAGACCTGCCTCTAACAAAAATCTGTTACGTTCTGGAGTTGAAGTTGATAAAGACTAAACTATTGTGGATCCAGATGGAGACTGTGCTCTGTGTCAGAGACTCAATAAGAAAGAGAGTCTGTCTCAGGCCACAGTGGTTCACCTGGTGGAACATGTGTTGTTTGGGTTTAGTCTTTGCCCTGGCTGCCCAGGTTCAAGTCTGGCCTGTGGCCCTTTGCTGTGTGTCATCCTCTCTCTCTCTCTCTCTCTCTCTCTCTCTCTCTCTCTCTCCTGAAAAAAATAACTTAATAAAACAAAGGTAGTCTGTCTCTTGTAACTTTCTCTGTGAGTGATCATGTTACAGTAAATAAATCACAGCTCAGTCTTTGTCTTTCATTTATGTGTTTGGTGATTTTGTCAGATGACATCACAGTTATAAAATCAGGATTTGACCAGAGGAGGTCCAGACATATATTAGGTTTTGCCCTTGTCTTGTTTGGTCGAGACCAAAACAGAGAGTGAATACTTCACTTTGTCAGGTGAACATAAATGTGACAATCAGGAATGTTAATGTTGCTCTGCATCCAATTGATAAACAGAACGCTAACATATGAGCTATCAACTTTATAAGGCCATAATTTAAGTGGCCAAAAACACTGATTAATGCAGCTTGGGCAGTCTTACCCACTACTCTATGTTTCTGAGAATCATTAAATAACAATAGGGTGGATTTGGATGTGTCACAGAAGGCTCATCCATGTG